TCGAAGAAAGAGCAAACACGGAAGATCCCTGTGTACCTCAGAAAAACGATTCTGTGTCCGGACTCTCGATTAATATTTAATTGAAATGAACCGTGAAGTGAGAAGGTAGAATTTCTAAAAATTGATTTTTCTCCACGTTAAATGAAACCGATCCTCGCCCACGATCGAAAATATGAAATATTATGACCCACGAAAATGGAGGTAGGATCTGCCTTTGCCACGCGCCTGCGCACACAAACGCGCACACACACACGTTCCTCTATCCCTTTCTCTCCCATTCCTTTCACCGGTCATTGTTCTATTTCACGCCACTCCGAGAGATCGTGTCCCTCCATATTTTTCCGTCTCTCGAATTTTTCCCCTTTTTTCTCGATCCGTTGCAATTCCCCCAGACTACGAACTCACCTATTCGAATACGCAGAGAAACATCGATAACAAAGGCGTACCGTGCGTATAAATCCATCGGGGAAGGTATTAGGAAAACAGTTAAAAGAACGTTCCGAATGATCGATAGTTAACGACGATCGTTGTTTTTCCCGTTGGGCTGCGAGATTAAGGCACACGCGCGACTGGCACATCGATTCGTAATCGTTATCGAGGCCGTTAACGGTACAGTGATTCAGAGGCGTGCAGCTCGGTTGGTTCGCGATCAAAAATCACCGCTCGGATCAAAGATCGTGTTACTCGATAGAGAAAAATCGGACGGACGAATCGCGTTCACGTTTATCGTTTATCGACGGAAGGAAACTCGCGCACCATTCCTCTACTATATATGTACATATGTGAAAAGTTCGAAAATCTAAAACTGAACATATCGAAAAAGAAGTTTAAACGAAAACTCTTTGGCACAAACGTGACACCATACGGTGAAAATTATTTTTCTGCGAGTCGAGTGGTGAGAGGAAATTTCAAAGTTACGTTGATTTTTTCTTCACGGTAAAGTAGCATTTGTCGAGACGAATTCAACGATCTGCCATATAAGGCAATTTGCTGTAGTAAATTGTTACAAATTCGTCGGTTTCTAGGTTCAGACTCTCGCGAGATATTCCACTTTTTATATATATCGCAAGTGTGGTTAGGTTGATTTTTTTAAATGGAATCGAATTTTCTTTTTCACGGTAAAGTAGCATTTGTCGAGACGAATTCAACGATCTGCCATATAAGGCAATTTATTGTAGTAAATTGTTACAAATTCGTCGGTTTCTAGGTTCAGTCTCTGGCGAGATATTCCACTTTTTATATATACATATATATTGCAAGTGTAGGTGTGCTGTTTACACGCGGTACGGTTTTCGCGTGGAATCGAGAAAATTTCACGTGACCGGCATGCGCACAAGCGGCGGACAGAAATTCGGTGACTTTCGAAGCCGCAGTCCACGCTCCGAAAACATCCGTTACCCTACACCTCTCTACGAAGCGTAATCTTTATTCCGAACTTCGTAACGAATTACGTTCACAAGGTACGGCGAGATAATTCTAGGGAGAAATAGAGACGAACGCGAACGATCCGACACAAGCACGCCTGAAAACACGCGTGAACGTGTTAAGATGGATTAATGGCGGTAGTACTGTAAATAACAGGCGGGGCGATATCGACTGATCGAATCGGTGAACTTTAACGTAGAACGCAGCTTCCGCATTTAGTACAATGCCGCGCTGGGGTTATGTAATCGCGGCACGGTTATCTGTCTCCGTGCATGCTGAAAAACGCGCCAATTTCGCACGATTCGATAACTCGAAAGAGGGCGCTACGCTCGAACGAGGAAAAAAACGCGAGATCGGTGGTAACGCGTGAAACTAACGCGTGACACTTCTCGTGTGTCCACGTGGATCTTGGAAAGATAGAACGAAAACGTGTTTAATTCCCGAGCTGTTGAACGATAAACGTTGACGGAGAATGAAATTTATAGAGTGAAAAGAATGGTTTAAACGAGAGATAACGACGTTGGAATTTGAAAGATACTCGACTGGTTTTTGGTAAACAACGAGAGACTGGTGGTAACCGTGAGAGAGATATCGGCTGGTATTATCGTGTCAGAAATCTTTGAACGTTAAAGGAAAGCAATTTCGCGCAGAAGCGAAGCGATAGGTTGTTTCGGAGCCCGGAACCGGAAGTGTCATGCTTTAAAGGGGACGATTTTCATTGGCGTTTCGAGCGTGCGAAAAAAAATTGGGTCGTTGACCGATTACACACTCCGGCTTATTCGAAAATGAATGTTGCCCCAACTAAACAGTTGGGACAATCGTCTAAGGTTGGTCGATAATTCGATCGAGTAATATACAGCTTCGTAGAGAGATATCGGTTAGATTGAAACAAAGCACGACGACCTGTTTCCTCTCCTTCTACGCGAGATGGCAAAACGCGCACTTTCAATGGACTGCCCGTAGTTCTGAATCGCGAACACAGTACGACACGTGATTCTGCGAGACGCAGTTTTCGTAGTTTAAGCGAAGCGACGCTCGTGACATGGGTGGTAATGCGGTTGGAAAACTGGCTGGCCGAAATAGGAAAAATCGAACGACGCACTTCAACGAACGATAAACTATCAGAAAAATGAATAACACACACAGTTCATTCGGTCACGATCGATCGTGGATAAAAGTATGTCGCGTAAATAGAAACACAAATACGATTCATCGTCCGGACGATTATTGTGGACGCTTCCAGTGTGTTTCGAGTGGAAGAACCGGTGGAAAAAACGCTCGAGTTTTTCTATAATCGCGAACGCCCCCGATTACGATGCATAATACTGAGCGAGAGTAGTTGGTTGAAGAAACGAAGATTTTCTTGAAAATACATCAACGATGTCGTCGGCTCTGAACGAGTCAGCAGGATGGATGCGATCGTCGATCGCACACGTATGCATTTATTAAGAACTTACAGAACGGATGGTTGCGAACAAGCGTACAGTACGTTCCGCATAGTATACCGGAGCATATACCCGCTCCACACATACGCGTATCCGTACACTCTCTCACACGCGGCCAACGAAGAAGACACATACACATCCGTCCACACACTACGAGACGACGACGACGACGACACAACGACAACGACGACGGATAGGAAAGAGAAACAGAGGGCCAGAGTACGGGCGAGAGTCGTGTAGTTGTGCACGTTAACACAAATACTGATAGTAGGCTAGTCACACACTCATACACATACACGAGCCGTGTCGCGAGAAAGACGAGCACATTCACATAGAGACATACACATAGTCGACAGCACGGCACAACGAGGAGAGAGACCACTCGTTGTTTACGTTCAAACATCTGAGAGTGGAGGTACGAGTGGACTGAGAATATCGAGATATGTCCCTCAATGGCAAGGACCTACTGGGATTTCCTTACTCTGCTTGTGACATCCGAAACCTCTCGCATGATCGCCTCGAACGCCGCTCTTTCCTGCGCTTCCTTCTGTTTGTGTAGCGCGATCTTGTCACTGAATTTCCGTGGATTCGCCATGATGGCTCGGCACTAGATCTCCCGACACTCGCGAGTATCGTACACCTACTACTCGTGTACCCTCTACCCCCGTTCGCACGTTTCCTTTTTCACCGATCGCGGCACCAATAAGGGCTCCCCAAAATTTCACCACGTTAGAACCCGTAACCTACTGCCTTCTGGATGGCACTGCCGATCACTGATACGCAAGATTATGCGGCGCAGCGCGCCACGCGCATCGCGCAGGAGCCGCTTTTCGCGGGCTCATTGGTCACACTGATCCCCCACCATTTCATCGCACCCGCAATAAAAAAGTGACGACACTTTTCCGGGGTGTTCCGAAAAGCTCGCTCTTTCGTCTGCTTCGACAACGCGTACTACTCACTGTGGATAAAACAGATTAACTATTCACATTTTATTATCGCGTGTTCGCCACCATGAAAATACCAGATCCTGTACTTCTCGTTCAACTTCAAATACATTATCCTATCTCAACCTCGTTCTATTCACAAATATATCCATTTGCATTGTTACTTTTTTACGCTTATTTCGATTTATTGTAATGTCTTGAATATTGAAAATTCTTCGTTCCCTCTCGGATACGCTATACAACAACGTTATTTCCTCGTCATTTTTCTCGAACGTCTAGCAAAATTATTATTCATCCTTGTTATTTATCTTATATATACGTACTTCGCAACGAGTTTCAAATAAAATTCCATTTTCCAGTGTAATCTACCCTTTTAGCTGAAATTAATACACTAAAGTTAGTCAATAAGATTCTAGCTTTCTGTTGTATCGATCGAGAACAAGGCGGATATATCGTTGATATATCATATTTCTAAAAGCGCCACTATAGAATGTAATTAATTCTCGTTTTCCTTATGAATGTAAATACTGTTGTAAAAATATATTTCCTGCTAAAAAATTATTAAAGTGTTAATTTCATTCACTACTACTACGAACACCATAGGAAATAAAAATGTTATTACTACGTTTCTGATAAAATGATTTCCTCGCACCTGTTTTTATTCAATTATAACAATTTGAAATGTGAATCTAATAAACATGACTCGTTTTGATAAAAATACGTATATTGAATCTTTACCGATAAATGTGTATAACGAATTAGTTGATGCGTTGAATAAAGATGCAGCTTGGATAACTTTAGCAAATCATGTAGCCGAGCAATTAAATTATCCATGGTAAGGGAAAATAGAATGTTTACTAAAAGTGAAATATCCCATTAAATTGCATTCATATATAATACTTAATTGTATTTCACAATTTTGAATAAAGCACTTTATGGATACAATCTTTAAAGGAGATGAAATACCCACAGGATACTCCTGGACAAAAGTTACTTTCGGAATTAAATATTAAAATGTGTAATGTAGAAATTTTACGTGCACTATTGGATAATTGTAAACTTTACAATGTCCTTTCTATTATATCTGATCCAGGTATAATGATGCTTATTATAATTCTCTGCTGAGTAAGTTAAACCTTTGATAACAAGAATATGTTTCTTAAATATGGTTGTAGAACCATTGAACATTATTGTGCATCCAACGGAAGAATTACAAACTAATATATTAAAAATATCGTTTGGATGTCACCTACATCTGCGTTGTAAAGCAGTTGGAATGCCACCACCAAGTTACATATGGTATCATGAAAATAAGCAATTACAACATTGTACCTCTAATGAGCTTGATATTGTTATAACTAGGTATATGTTTAATAAATACATGTATTACATGCTTTTAATCAATATTCTAAAACTTATTTCATGTATTTCTCAAAGTGTTTCTCAAGCAGGAAAGTACAAGTGTGAGGTATTTCAAATAAAAAATGACGGAACTGTTGTATCAACTTTGACTTCAAAAGCTGTAAATGTACAAATTTTTTCTATACCTGTTGTCGTAGAAGAACAACCACAGCCAATTTTGGAAGTCAAAGATGGTGAAAGTTTTACAATCTGCTGTAAAGCTAATAGCTATGCAGAACCATGTTACCAATGGTTCCATGATAATACTAAACTAGAAGGAGAAACATTTAATATTTTGCACGTATGTAAATTATCCTTTCTTTTCATCTTATTACTTGACAACTTTTTGCTTTCTTATGCATTTACAATTTCAGATAAAAAAATTTAGTTCAAAATATGAAGGAAAGTATTATTGTTATATTTATAATAATGTGAGTGAAGCTTATACCGAAAGGGCTCATGTAATGGTAAGAACATATGGTTGATAGTTATTCTTAACATTTTAGTATTATATCATCATTTTTTTATCACATTTTATAGATGGATCTGCCAAAATTGAAAGCTGTTGCAAAAATAGCTTTAATTATTGCAAATGAAGAGTATGAATATCAGGAGTGTCTTGTAACACCTAAAAATGATGCTGCACATATTGGTAATCTCCTCAAGGAAATAGGATTTGAAGTGATCTGCCTTATCAATTTAACAATTACTCAAATGAAAAATGTAATAAAAATATTTAGCAAAGCTTTAGTAGAAGGTGTATATGGTAAGATACAACAAATACACAATGGAAAATACATTACTAAACAAATTATTTTTCTTATGTAGGTTTATTCTATTTTGCTGGTCATGGTTTCAAAATGCAAGAAAGTTATATGCTTGCAACAGATACTCCAAAAACATATTTAAGGAAAGATGCAATATGTGAAAGTGAACTATTATCTGCATTTCTTGAAAATGATCCAGAACTATTAATTGTTATTTTAGACATGTGTCAAACTTTACCATCCAAGCAAGTCTTTTATCATTCATTTTCTTCTCTATATTTATTTATTTGTTCATCCAAGTTGTATATTCATTTTTAGAGAATTTAATCCTGAAATTTATCACGAGGTACCAACAGTGAACGAATATAAAAGTAAAAAGAATCTTCGGAATTTAATCCAAGCCTATTCTACATCTAGCCATCGGCCGAGTTATGAGAGAGTAAATAGTAAATATGGTTTATACATGACACATCTTAGTAAATATATTAATAAGGACATAACAGTTACAAAATTATTTGAACAAGTGGGAAAGTGTAAGTTGCTGATGCTAGGTATATATATATGTCATATTTTATTTTTCTCGAATTCGTATTTTGTAATAATTTTTTGCAGCTATCGATAGTTGTTTCAAAGGCAAAGAACGGAACCAAATTCCAATGTTTGCTTTATCCATTACAAAACCATTTCGTCTTACCGATGCTGTCTACGAAAGTAACTTCATTTTCACTTACATCATATATATGTTACCGTTACTGTTTTAACATAGCTTTTAAACTTTTGTAGAAAATCGTCCAAATTCCATCGATTATTTAAACAAACTTATATCGTTCTCAACCCAAACATTCGACATAAGTTTTAAACAAATAAACATGTGCAGTAGAGTTATAATATCATTGTTCATGGAACCATACTTGAATTTAATAAAAATCGAACTAGTTGATTTGGAAAATGTAGAAATAAATTTTTTTAATTATCATCGCGCTACACGAAATAATTTGTATCAAAATCAACATAAAAAAGAATGTTGGATTCACAACCCCCAGGTATGTATCTTATACTCGGCATAAAAGTATTTTTATGTGAAGGAGTTTATTAATATACACAACTATATTATCTTCACATGGATTTATGTTATAGGGACCACTAGTTATTTCTGTGTCGAAAAATGGAACTGCAATTGGTGCAACATTATTAGACATAAAAGATTACATACCTCCTTTGTTAAATATTATAAATATTTGAAAAAATAAATATATTGTGCATTCTAAACTGTATAAAATCAAGAATTTATAAATGAAAATTGTATTTATTTAAGTAACGGCAAAACGTTATACAACTGAGTAGTTTATTTATGCAAAGTGATTGACTAATTTTACTGTCCAGTATCCTCCTGTCCATGATCCATTATATGTATATATTCTTTGAAATACGTAAGTAGCAGTTATTGCAGCATGAAAATTTGTAAACATATCTTTACTCGTCTCATCAACACTGAAACTTTGTACTGTTATTTCGATAATTTTTTTATTATCTATAATAATATTCTATGATCAATAAAGGAACAGTAGTAAAAAAATGATATTATTTTATGTATTGTAATAATAATGACCTTCTTCTTTTACTACAATATCTCCAGGGAAACATATAGTCTTATCTGCATCCAAAGCAATTAGTTTTCGTTGATACGAACTTAAACTTTCAACTTTATCTTTCAGTACTTTTATAGCTTCTTCGTTTACTCTACCTTCTAATTCGTCATAGTTCTGTGAACTTAATGCTTCTGATATTAACACCATTGCCTAAAAAATATTCCTAATTATGTTTAAACAAATAAATCACAAAATAATTGTAATTAGTTTAAAATTGACTAAATGAAATTAAGTGCAGTAATATAATTATTCATAACACCTAACACTCTAATAAACATACCCCTTTGGCTGCTTGTCCAAATTGTAGTAATCTAAATTCGCTGTCTATAGTTAAACGAATAAAAATAGCTGTAAACAATAATGAAGTAATCCTAACTTCCTTGGAATTAACAGCCTGTTCCTCCATTAATGGTGGTAAAAGATTCTTTTTCTTTTCTGAATCATATTCACTCATGAACCTGTACAACGTAAGATTTGAATTTGTTGAATTTGATAATTTATTTACATATTTCCATCCTGACCCGCAATACGTCGTTTTCTGTATCATTTGATTCCTATTACGCATGTGAAATGTTATAAATTGTCGCATTTGCATGTGAAATATACACCTTTTTGGTACCAACAACATTTTTACATTTATTTAACTTTCATATGTTAGTACAAAGAGCAGATCTTACAAGGTATTATCCTAACCTATACCAGCGGTAATACTAATATCGTATTTTGTTTATGCAGTATCAAATGTAACTTAAGAGATCACTTGCGTACGAGAAAGGTTTAAGTATTGCGTGCATCTATCACGCCATCGGCTGTTCAAGGGTTAATTTATAATAAAATATCCATTAACCTCTACTACTTTCTTTCAATGTTCCACGAACTTTTCAGTCCCATCTTTGTAGAATTTTCGCAGTTTATTTCTTTATTTATAATGGTTCCATAAATAGTCTGCACATCGTAATAAAACCCACAAACTAAACGTATGACACAGATTCGTCGCTCCTCTTCTTTGTCCAGGAGCTGTACCGCTTTCTGGTCGCGATAGACGTAGTTATTTACATGTCACCATACTATCTAGTTTAGTTACCTACTACAAACTAGTTATATTTTCAGCACGTCAGGTCCAACTCTATTGTCACAAATTGTCGAAGTTTATACGAATTCTACTTTATATGTTGTGATTTCATCTTTGAATAGGTTTCGAAAGATTTAAACTCATAATTAAGAACAATGAGGCTCACAACTACTTTACTTTCAAGGATGGGAGAATGGTCTAAAAAATATGCGAATTTACCGGACCGTTACATAAAACGTATCTCAGAACGCGTACGTGAATTTGTTTGGATCGTATTTTAATTGTACTTTACTCTTTGTAAATATTAATTTTCTTATATATTTTATAAACAGATTTACTGGAGAGCACCACCTGGAAAACCACAATATCAAAAACGTACAATAGGAATAAAGAAAAATTTATACTATTCAATTCATCGACCGTGGACCACACAGTTTCAGTTCGAAAATTTTCATGTGAGACGTCGTGAATATGTTCCAATTGAACCTGTTAAACATTGGAGCTTTTTTCGCGGAGATCGTGTATGTTTCTTGCAAGCATTACGTAAAAGTGCACGGTATTTCAATATTATATTCTTCAGGTGGAAGTTTTAGTTGGTCCTGATAAGGGAAAACAGGGATTTGTGAAAGATATTATACAAGAGAGAAATTGGGTTATTGTACAAGGATTAAATACAAAGCCAATGATACAGGGAAAGACAAAAAGTTTTCCTGGTATTTGTATACGTGTAGAACAACCATTATTAGTTACTTCACAAATCCAATTAGTAGATCCTTCTGATTTGTAAGTAAAATGGGATGTTTTAGCAAAAATGTAAAGTATGGAAATATTTATAAATATACTTTTATTTTAGGAAGGCAACTCCCATAGAATGGAGGTATACGGACGAAGGTGAGTTAGTGAGAGTATCTACTAGAACTGGTAAAATTATTTCCATACCTGTATCAAGTGTAGAAACTGTAGATTATAAAACTCCAGATGTGTATTTCGAAGGACCTAAAGATACTAGTGTAAATGATGTACAGGAATTAACATTTGAGGTATATATATTTATATACCGTTGCTGAATAAAATTATATAATAATTGATTTTATGCATCAACAGGCAAAGTTGAAAACATTTGAAATGGATATTATGGACACAATGGGTATCAAAGAAGATCGTGTACCAAAGAAATATTATTGGTATTAATTTTGTTGAATGTATCATGTACAGACAAATTCTTTGTTGCGTATATAAAATTGAACTTTAAAATATGCTGCGTACTTTTAAATATATATATACTTGTTTTTATTACCTTTCTTGTAAATTCCTTTGAAGTTAGCTAGAAACAGGGTTGCAATAGTACAATCTCAAAAAAACCTTACACACCAACACCTCTGGAATTTAATCGCATTGTTAAGAAAGAAATATTTGACAAGAAATGAAACAGTGTACAGAAGAGTAAAGAGTCGATTGATTGCTTCGCAAATATCTATCCTAAAGTAAAATAGTTTTCACAATATTGTTTATTTATTTTTTCGTTTATTGGGGAATTCGTCGTGGACAAACCGTTTTTATTAATGCTCATTACTTTTATATTAACACACATACATATCACAGCATGATTTTTAACAAACGCGAACCTAGAAACGAATGTCAGTCTACAATTAAATACTTCCATAATGCATTATATTAACATTTCTATTTTTATATTATATATGCCATTTTTCTAGATCAATTGTATCTCAAACATTTTGCACATTATTCTTATTTACAAATCATTTTTCCTTCGAAGCGTGTCTGTATGCACGTGACTCCTTCGACCGTGTTCTACAACGACCTAACCTAACTTATATCCGTAGGTGATTAGGAAAAGCCGTCTTTCCTTTACAGCAATTAGAATGTATCGAAACAATACTAAAAGTTACACATACTCATACTTGATGAATACCACAAGAAAACAAGAAAAAGAAAAGATCTCTCCGAAGACCGTGACCTTCGTGACAATTGCTTAACGTTATTACTTTGATATTACATATACATATAAGCACGATATGTGACTCCTAAGTAGCGTTTCAACGAAATATTCGTGATTCTGTTAAAAATAAGAAAAGGCAAAACGAAACTAAGTACTCGCGATAGAACGTAATTTCGAACACGAAGAATTACCAAGAGATCATTCGAATCGACGTGTAATCTTCTATCGTTCGAATTCAATAGAAACATCGGCACAATTACCACGCGCCGTTCCACTTCTCAGGTTCGAAGTTCGTTGCATCGTTCCAAGCTCTATTTCGTTGCAGGATAATCGCTTCGATACAAAAGTTCATTCGATGATCACGAAGTTTTGGAATCGTACGTATTCATTACGTTACCCATCCCGTCCTATTGTCATAATGTCCACGCGACATGTCCATTTTCTAATTGACTACCATTCACGACGATTTGGTGGCAGGGTGCCTGACTAGGAGGTTTACTT